GGACACTGTTTATTTACAAGCACAAAACATATAGTCATATGCTATGCAGAGAGAGATGTGTATGCATATAAAGAGAGTGGGACAAGGAGCTTGGAGCCCACATTAGCATCTGGACAAGAAACAAAAAAACATCCCCTTTCACAACAAAACAATTACGAGTCATTATTATTTCATATCATACAATATTCGATCCGATTGCGTTAGTCTTTTTTTTGTGTTTTTCTTTCAAGATAAATAAAGAAAGCTGGATGGGTGAAATTCAAATGGAATCTTGGAAATTTGATGTTAAGAATACATGTTTTTTAATGGTGACAAATGTATGTGTAGCCTTTAGGGCTGGTTTCTATATAAAAGAGAGACATGAGAATATTTGTTTCGAAAATAAGACACATGCATATACCCAATTCATGTTTCCGTATATGTACAAATATACAATGTGGTGCCATCATCTCACATACTTTATGTCTTTATATAACAAAATTTGAGTTTAATCATATATGATGAATACTGTGTGTGGTTACATTCATTAAACGGGCACAAACACAAACCCTAGAGAGTCAGATCTGGTTTTCAAGTATCATCAGCTGATCGACCAATTCTATCTAATATCTCAAACAAAAGAAAAACTATAGATCTGGAATATGTTCGAAAGAATTTTCTTTATATAAAAAACATGTCTATAAAGTGTAAGTGTGTGTGTGTTGTAGGTATAACATATTATTAAAGTCCACCATCTCATTAAAGGGCATTTGTCTAACCAAGTGGAACTGTAAGAACATTGAAGTAAATACAAATTTTAAAAAGTATATTTATTTTTTCATTTAAAAAGAAAAAAAGGAGAAACAAAAAGAAGAAGATACTTTAATATGAAGAGAAAGGAGAGGGTTGAGTTGGAAAGAATGGGTGGGAGGATGGGGGAGATGGATTCTCATCACATGCAATGCTTTTTAAGTTGGATATAGCGATCCTTCACAATCACTTTCTAGCTTATGATAATTAGGATATAATAATCACCACTTATTTTATTCTATTTTAAGTATATGCAACAAATAACCATAAATCGGTCATTTATTTGTAAACAGAAATAAAATAATATGGATGTCACCATGTTTTTAATAAATATCACACTAATTATTTTATATCACAATATTTATATAAATCATGCATGAAATAACATAAACATGTATTTATCATTTGTCACCGCATTTTTTTTTTCAAATCAAAACCCTCGTATATAAAATTATCTAGCCATTTCAACAAAGACCGCATTGGATTGATTTTCAACGAAAAATTGCAAATAACGCAAGTGTGTTTAACGAATTGATCCATTCTTATCCTAGACGTACAAGAAACTTCATTTGGTATATATTACATTTAAAATATTCACACTTTAGACTTATATAACTAAATTGAATATTTTTTAAATTTTTGTATCTATAAAACTTATTAATATATATTTGTATATGAAAATATCATTAGTGTGTTAACACACGTTAATCCAAATGTAATTTATTCTATCAAACATAAAGTAGAGGTATGACTCTGTTAAGACGACGAAATGTCTGAGAGAAACCCAACAATTTATTATTTATGTCAAACACTACATGCCTCATTGGTTTAAATGCACTGATTGCTACTATGGATACATAAGTTTGTGGAAGCATGTAAGGCAATACCAAGTTCAACAGAATCAGAGACAACAACCTTAGCAGTAGCAGAGAGTACCCCAAAAGCAACAAAGACAACCTCAATAGTAGCAGAGAGAATCCTCGATACAAATCGAATAGCAGAAGAGACAGCCTCCGAAGCAGAGATAAACCCAAAAACATAGTTACTCATTGAAGAAGTAGAGGTAACCTCGGAGGCAACCTTAGAAGAAAAGAAATAGGGTAATCAACCCCATGAGCAAACACAAAAGAGGTATGGAGAATTATACTGATTTCATAAACCAGAGAGTATGGATTCACAGCAGGTTCAAGGACCACTCTAGTAGTTTGCACAAGAGGAGAAGCTCCAAGAGTAGAGCAAGACCAACAGAGGGAAAGGTCACTGGAGGGGTTGATTGGTGATGAGAAGATGACTGTTTAGGAAGACAATCCTTTCCTTGGGAGGTTTTGGTTTCCAACAAGCTTCTGGACTGTGGGATTCGAGGTGACCAAGTTCTTTACAACAAGGACAAATGGGAGGAGTCCATTGGTAATAAATGGTAAGGGATACCAATTCACCATATTTCTTCTATATTTCAGTAGAGGAGGGAAGAAGCTTAGTACAATCCACCTTGACTTTTAAATGTGGTACATCCAAACTGACCATTATCCTGGTAAATTTGTCGACCTCTACAGGTAAAACTAATAAGTCTGCAACTCTTTGAACCCCTTCCTGGGTATAAAGGTCAAAGGGGATACCCTTAATATGAGCCCAAATAGGGATATAAGTGAATGTAGGACGTTTAAGAGCTAGTTTTGCAGACCATTATGCCACATAGAATAGAGAACTTCCAATATGTTATATCTCTTCTTCTCTACCTTGTTTATGGTAGTAGGGTTAGGTATTCTAACCAACATTGATCTTGTTTCAGGTCTCAAGCGAATCTCTAATTTCATTCCACATTCCCAAATGTGAGTGAGAATACTCAAGATTTGTCCATAGGATGGAGCTTTACCCATGAACACACCAAGGACGAAACCCTGGTGAAGATTTGGCCCTCTCTGAAAAATAGAATATGAAATCTTTACCCTAGGCACACCATCAGGAGAAATGTTAGGAGAGGAGTGAGATCTTAGTTTTCAGTCAACAAAATTTTGTAGCTTAGCGGCCCAAGATGAGACATTATCCTGAGAGGATTAGGTAGCAGTAGAGGGAGGCGGCTGAGGAGAGGGACCAACAGACATGGCTTCAACTGGTAAAGTGGTGTGAATATAACGATTACATCTAGCTATAACAACATTATTGGTAATACTAGGGGTTTCTACACATGGTATTAACCTTGTCATAGTATCATCTTTTACTAACCTCATTCCCATATTTGTAGGAGGCGAAGAAGCTTCTTGTATAGTAACATCAATTATGAAAGGGCTAGAGGCTACCAGTTGAAAAACCCATGTTATCTATGCTCATTGGGGTATGGATATTTATCGAGGAAGTATCTTGGATTTGCTTTTGAGGAGCAGTAGTAGAGGTAGAAGTAATACCAGTTGGAGTAGATGCCCAAGCTGTAGTAATAGTGCCATCAGATCCAAATTCAAACCATTTAGGAGAAGGCAAAGAGGAAAAGGGAGGGAACAAATCCAAGTCCATAGAGAGCTCTGGATTTGGCTGTTAAGGAGGAGGCCGAAAGAGTGTAATCATCCATCAGACAGCGAAGAGAGGCTAGAGTTAGTACAATACCAAGAGATGAGAGAGAAAATTTTGTTTTTAACCCTCAAGTTTTTTAAACCACCCTTTTTAAGTTGCTAATATACTAATCTATTTGATTGCATTAATTTTGTTCAATCTCTT